CTGCACAAAATATCATTATAATATAAAAAATTATACCTAATAGAGTTTACATTGGCTTCATAAGCTAATAAAAAATGCGCATTCTTTGTTCTTCATTTTTTTATTAGCAGAGTTAACAAACCTTGTATTTTCGTGTAACTCATTAACACCGCCATTTTGCTCCGACGAAACTGATAGTCAGGGAGCCAAAGTCTCAAAAGCTCTATAAAATGGGTTGAACCTGACATGGTCTGCCATACTTTTTATTTGTGTTTTTTCTGTTAACTTTGACCCTAAGAACAAATAATTGGAGGGTCTGCTCTGCCGGAAATATCGCGAAAAAAAATTGTGGCCATTTTAGTGTACGCACCCTTTATTTTTTATCAGAAAAATGTGAAAAATTATTTTTTTCATCAAATCCTTAGTGGGTTGGGTAGGTTCTCAATAAATGCATTGCAGATACACAGAACACATGTGCGGACAACATACACTGAAAAAATAATTCTTAAAACACATTTCTACATGATTTTGCATTAATTTAATGCAAAAAAACAGGCGTTTTTTTCCACTTTTTTTCCACTATTTTCATCTTTACTTCATTGGCAATCAACTATTCCATTAAGTTATGACAACAGGCAATATGCCATTCTTTTCACCGAACACTATACTCATTCCACAGAAAAAATGATAAAAATCCAAACAAAATCAATGGATCTGTGATGATTTCACTACTAGTTGGCGATCAACAGGCTCAGAATTTCAATAGAATTTTAGACTACTCTCAAAATTCTTAAAAACATGCTGTATATTTAGCATCATGGCTCACTTACAAACACACACACACACACACACACACACACACACACACACACACACACACACACACACACACACACACACACACACACACACGCGTGATCTTAGTAATTTTTATGTGTTTGGAACAACCGACCAACGGTTACCAACGGACTTCAAAGCTGCTCATCATTGTCTGTGGTAAGTGATAGTGACTAATATACCGATAGCTTCCCCAGAGTTTTGGGAAAAGAATGGTAATATGGATATTGTAATGGTAATTAACTGAAATGACCACACCAGTCTTCAAACAATAATATTTCTGATGATTCTTCATCCCAATAAACGTATCCCTGCAGCAGCAGCATTCATTCTCTACTAGTTTACTTAGCTAGCTTTAGCCGTTTTAGCTAATTTCGGTGGTTTCTTTAAACGGCATTACTCCTCACAGGTATGGGGTAGAGAGTAGAGACTTACTTTTTTTAAATGCTCAGAATATTATGCTCTAAGAGAGGTATGTGTCCTATATGTTCAATAAGCTTCGACCAGAAGTTGAAAAATTGCCAAAATTTCAACTGGACTTGTTAGGTAAAGAAGATATTAGAATAAATGCTGCTACAGGGATACGTTTGGAGCGAGGAATCATTGGAAATAAACTTGTATGAAGCCTGGTGTGGTCCTTGAAGTGTTTTTCATGTCAGACAGATAGTAGGCTTGAAAGGATAGCTAAAGGCTACACCAAACGTTAACTGCCATTAGCAATTAGCTACATGGCTAGTTGTTACATTCAGGTTTAGAAAGTTTAGCTAGTTAGCTTGTGACATGAATGGCCACACAGACAAAAAAAACAATTATATAGCTATATTGGATATCAGACTGTACACAATACTGAACAATACAAATGTTCTATAAAATGTAAACATACTATAAATTATGCATAGTTTGTTTTTGTTTGTACAGTATAGAGTGAGTGATTTGTCAAAAGCTAGTAGTAATAATAATAATTCATTTTATTTGTGGGCGTCTTTCAAGACATTCAAGAACACCTTACAATAAGCAATAAGTAAACCAATGAAGGTTCCCTAAAACTGGAGTAATATGCTCATTCAACAGTGTTTGTGTAATGATCCGAGCTGCTGAATTCTGAACCATCTGAAGTTTATGAATACAGGATGACAGTCAGACTCTTAACCTGAGAAGAAAGAAAGATAACAGAGTCGGCGATAGTAAGTTTAAAACTTCCACAATTCCGCAGTTTTGATTTAGTACCTACTAGTAAAATTTTAGTTCCCTTTCAGTCGATCACATGCGGCGTAACATCGACGTGACAACGTAACCAGGACCACTTCAGGGATCGCATCACGTGCCCCGCTCCGCAGCGTGGGTATAAACAGGAAGCGGGCGCACGCACACATTGTCTTTCACTTAGGAGCCAAGCTTTCATCTGACTGAGTTCTGCAGACTGCTGCAATGTTTAAGATTCAAGAAAAGCAAGACTCTGTATCCAGTGCTGGTGTGACTGTGCAATCAGTGGTGGCCTCAAGGATTTTACAGCTCACAACTGCTGTTTTCACAGCATTGCTTGTGTGTGTGTGTGTGTGTGTGTGTGTGTGTGTGTGTCGGTCTTGGTGGGCGTTCCTCTTTGAGACTGTACCCCGATTATACCGCGGCTATCCTTGGGTACTATGGCACTGAAAGAATTTCTATTTTTTTGTTTTCACTAAAAGAGCAACACAAGCGTGACCCTGCGTTCTTTTCAGGATGTCTTTCCGCTCGTGCGTTTATGGATGCGGTCATTCCCTGGCGCCAGCAGATGGTCACAATAGTTCCTTTTCGTGTTGGGCATTCAGCACGCTGAGGCAACTTTTGTGAATAGTTCATGTTTTCATTGCAGGAATATGACTATGACTGTGCTGAGATTGAGACTTGCTTACCTCAAGGGAGGTGTAGTCCCCTCGCCTATGCCCGATCTAGCTTTTATTTTGGACCTCAAAATAAACCTACTTCTGTGCATGAGCAGGGTGATCTGAGGGTGATCTGAGGATTGATGTGAGGACTTCCCCACTGAGGCAATCGCCTTGGGTCCCTCACACCTTACAAGCGCTGCAACTACCAGCCATGTCCTTTGGGGCTCCGCTTGATGATCAGATGTCGATCACAGCATCGTAGGGGGAGCTTCAGTCCTCTGGAGATGAGGATTCGGGTGTGTTGCCCCCTTCGAAGGAAACCGCACGTTCCATTGGTCAGGCGATGTCCACCTTGGTGGTCCAGGAGCACCACCTTTGGCTCAACCTGGCCGATATGAGAGACACCATTAAGAATCGGTTCCTGGATGCCCCTCGGTCCCAGGTTGGTTTATTCGGCGACGCGGTTGAGAGCTTTTCCCCACCCGTTCACTGGTCGCAGACCCTCCATCCACTCGTCACTGAGGTCGACCTCCTGGGGCATCCTCCGCTCCTGTGAAACATTTAACATTTGGTGTAGCCTTTAGTTATCCTTACTAGCCTACTATCTGTCTGACATGAAAAACACTTCAAGGACCACACCAGGCTTCATACAAGTTTATTTCCAATGATTCCTCGCTCCAAAAGTATCCCTGTAGCAGCATTTATTCTAATATCTTCTTTACCTAACCAGTCCAGTTGAAATTTTGGCAATTTCTCAAATTACGGTCGAAGCTTATTGAACATATAGGACACATACCTCTCTTAGAGCATAATATTCTGAGCATTTAAAAAAAGTAAGTCTCTACTCTCTACCCCATACCTGTGAGGAGTAATGCCGTTTAAAGAAACCACCGAAATTAGCTAAAACGGCTAAAGCTAGCTAAGTAAACTAGTAGAGAATGAATGCTGCTGCTGCAGGGATACATTTGGGATGAGGAATCATCAGAAATATTATTGCTTGAAGACTGGTGTGGTCATTTCAGTTAATTACCATTACAATATCCATATTAACATTCTTTTCCCAAAACTCTGGGACAGACCTACCGGTCTAAGTCTGTTGGTAACCGTTGGTTGGTTGTTCCAAACTCATAAAAATTACTAAGATCATGCGTGTTTGTGTGTTTGTAAGTGAGCCATGATGCTAAATATCCAGCATGTTTTTAAGAATTTTGAGAGTAGTCTAAAATTCTATTGAAATTCTGAGCCTGTTGATCGCCAACTAGTAGTGAAATCATCACAGATCCATTGATTTTGTTTGGATTTTTATCATTTTTTCTGTGGAATGAGTATAGTGTTTGGTGAAAAGAATGGCATATTTCCTGATGTCATAACTTAATGGAATAGTTGATTGCCAATGAAGTAAAGATGAAAATAGTGGAAAAAAAGTGAAAAAACGCCTGTTTTTTGCATTAAATTGATGCAAAATCATGTAGAAATGTGTTTTAAGAATTATTTTTTCAGTGTATGTTGTCCGCACATGTGTTCTGTGTATCTGGAATGCATTTATTGAGAACCTACCCAACCCACTAAGGATTTGATGAAAAAAATGTAACCGAGCTTTTGTATTGGGTTCGCCTAAACACTTTTAACTAATAAAATAATAAAAACGGGAGACAGAAGTTCCAGGAACGATGCAAAACTCTCTTTATTCTTTCTTGAACACATGTGCTCCTCATTCACTTATGCGCTCCTCCCCTCTTGCCTATGGCAAGTCCCAAAGGACAGAATGTGTTACACACGCATAAACAGAACATTACTGTAGCTTTAGCTTCTGTACCTACTTTAATCTGTTACAAAAATAATTTTTCACATTTTTCTGATAAAAAATAAAGGGTGCGTACACTAAAATGGCCACAAATTTTTTTCGCGATATTTCCGGCAGAGCAGACCCTCCAATTATTTGTTCTTAGGGTCAAAGTTAACAGAAAAAACACAAATAAAAAGTATGGCAGACCATGTCAGGTTCAACCCATTTTTGAGACTTTGGCTCCCTGACTATGACTTGAACGCACCTCACGTCGTAAACACGACTTCACCTCGTACGTACGAACTTCCCAGGACCAGGAGGAGTTGAACGCAGCATGAGTGCCACCCAAAAAAAACGCTGGCGTTCCGCCAGGTCATTGTTAGCTGGGAGTATGTTACATAATGTATTGCGTCTGAGCAATTTATTTCATTTCACTGTAATTAAAAGTATAAACTCCAAAGTGTAGATTTCAAAGTGATAGCTATTTCATTAGAAAAACTCTCCTCCCTCACGTCACGGGGCATGTTTACGTCATCATCATGGCGGCATACGCCTGAGCGAGGGCGGAGCGCAGGGCCGAGTGTCCAGTGTTATATTTCTGGCTACTGTAGTCACTCACGCTCACTGATTCAATGAACGGTATAATGGCTGCGTCGTCGAACAGAATCATGCTAGGCCCCCTTGTAGCTGCTATCGACCAAGGCACGAGTTCCACGCGTTTTCTGGTAAGTCGTATCTTGAGGACATGTTATCTGGTTGTGGTGGAGCTTACTGAAGTGGCTCGCATACAGACAAAGATTGGAGAGTCCTCCGTGCCCTTGCCAACATGTGCCGGCAGATAAAGATGCTGAAGCCGGTTCAGCAGGAGACAGGAGTTCAGATTCAGCCGTCATAGGAAGTTACCTAAATTAATTGCTTTTAGTTTCTGGGTCTGCTTGATCTTCTGTATGATGACAATGGAACATTAGCTGAATCTTTCTAGTTAGCTTTCTGTTTCCTCGGTACTTGTCTCTGAAAATAATTATTTTAGTGCAACGAAGGGATATTTTGAGAGTTATATTTGTGAATTCACTTGCCTAGTGTCAAAATACCCCTATTGTACTAAAATAACGTTCAGCCCAAATGGTGTTCATTTTTGTCTCACTGTGAAATTTAACTTGCTAAGTGGTAATGATCTATTTTTTACCCAGTTACTCAATGTTTGGATTTGAGCAGCATTACAAAGTTCAAATGTTTTGCTTAAAACTTAATTTTAATTCCCACGTTAATATGACAGCTTTAATTATGATGTTTTCAGAACTTGAACAATAAATGACATTCAATCGCAGTATCGCACTTTGGACAGTTTCTCCATACATAGGGTGATATTTTAGTTTTTGGAAAATAGGACGGGGGGCGTGGTTGATGGGCGGGGCATGTTTTTGGGGAGAAGTGGTTAAAGGAGAACTCCGGCGAACAATGAACCTTTGGTCTATAAAACATCAGTACATGTATAGTCAACCGTTCTCTGAGATTTGTTTTCATGATAATCGAATGTAAAGAGTTTTATCTCTAAAAACTGTTTAGCATATAATGCTAGTAATGGGGGCATTGACTAAGTAAAAGGAAATCGCTAGTTTATACCACTAACAAGGCTCAAAATAGCCCCACACTAACGCAGTAACATAATAAGTCTCCATACATGCAAAACGAAGCATTGAGAACTTTTTAAGTGTACAGACCGTTTAATAAGGAGATACTTTACGAAGACAGTTCACTTCGTTTACAGACAGGAGCCATCTTAAAAAATAGTCTCGATAAGTCAAACCACGAACGTCGTGCTGAGTGATCTGAATTGTATGAAGGTTAGCGAACTTCTGAACTGTATGAACGGCGTTCGGGGATCGACTTATCGAAGGCACAGCAGAAATTTGAATTCGATCCGACTAAATCCCTAGGAGGAGTTCGTTAAAGTACGGAGTGTGTAAATCGTCCAAAAATCGCCGCCAAATTCAAAATGGCGGACTTCCTGTCGAGTTTAGGGTATGGGTTCTTGAGGCTTTTTTGTGCATCTTGATATGATGTACGTCCCCACCAAATTTCGTGCATGTAGGTTGAACAAGGACGAGGGGCTAGTTTTTTCCAGTTTTCTAGGTGGAGCTAGCATGCCATTTTGCCACGCCCATCCGCGAAACCCACAAAATACGAAATTTTTCACCAGTTCTGACATGCGTGCCAAATTTGGTGAGTTTTTGAGCATGTTGTGGCCCCGAAAATGGCGCTTACTTTGCAGAAAAAAGAAAAAAAAAATAACCCTAACAGTTTCAATAGGGTCCTCGCACTGTTAGTGCTCGAGCCCTAATAATAACCCTAACAGTTTCAATAGGGTCCTCGCACTGTTAGTGCTCGGGCCCTAAAAATAATCCTAACAGTTTCAATAGGGTCCTCGCACTGTTAGTGCTCGGGCCCTAATAAATAAATAAAACGTAAAATAAGTTAATGAGGGAATAAATAAATTCATCTTACAGTACATACTATATATTAAAAATATAAGGCTAATTCAGGAAAATTGGGACATTTTCCCCAGTCATCTGAATGGGAGAAAGTGTCTAAATTCACCCTAATAATGTTACTTAACTAAATATTTTCAAAATTATATTTTGACATTGGCATGATTTTTTTTTTTTCACAGTACATAGGCTATTTGATCTTTATACAAGAAACTATACCTTCTAAATGTTAGGTTGGGGTCCCTCCGTCTCATGAGGAAGATCATATTTGAAGACCCTTTTCTTCACAGGTTGTTCTGACCTGAAATTTTACTGTTGCCTACTGTGGGCCCAATATGTTACGTACATTAGATCTCATCTGATAAGGCCATGACACTAATAGTGGACAAAGCAAAAAAAAAAATCTGTGCCTTTGTTTTGTCCATTAGGAAGACATGGTAGAATGTGTGTTCATGTTAAAGTAGGGTATGCTTGTAATTCCACAGCTTAAAAAAAAACATTCCTCATATTATTAAAATGTTGCGGTGGGAATTGTTAATCAATAGAAAAGCTCAGAATGAAATAAAACTCTGTAATTAATGCCTTTGTAATACCTGGAATTTCCAGTTTTCAGCATCACTATATAAAATCACTCAATAAAGCATCACTTATCACAAATGACTGCAATACCACACTGAAATGTAGCAGGTTCAAGTCAGAGAATTGCTATTCTGGCATTCTTTCTCCACAACATTGTTTTTATACAAGTGATTTCTGTCTTTCTCCAAGTTGAGCAGAGGCAGTTTGGATTCTCCAAGTTGAACAGAGGCAGTTTGAAAGAATAATTTTCATTGGCCAGGCCATCTGACTTCTCATATATATCTATTTTTTTTAAAGCAGAATAATTTCTGAGCAAATTTTACATTTTTCTCTTTTTTTAAATAATAATAAAATAAGTGTTAATTTTCTGCTTTAAAATATGTTAACCTTTGGGGTGCCTTTTTGAACCATTTCATCATCTGACATTACTGAATGCGATATGTTTCATGATAAGTGGCTTTAATTCATGTCTTCTTTATTTTCTTGTTTAGCAATTTAACTGACAGACTTGGCATCTTTCTCTCTTCTTTTACTTGTAGGTTTTCAATGCGAAAACCGCAGAGCTTCTCAGCCACCATCAGGTTGAGATTAAACAGAGCTTTCCTAAAGAGGGGTGGGTATTGTCAAGTCAAGTCACATATTTATTTATATAGCGCTTTTCACAATACAGATTGTATCAAAGCAGCTTCACACTGATAACATGAAAGTAGTACAACACAGATCAATAATACTGCTAAACACTAAATAACCCCAACTGAGCAAGCCCAAAGCAAGCCAAAAGCAAGGCGACAGTGGCAATTGTTTACTTTCTGTCATGAGATGACATGCTGGTTCAATGGGGCAATGTATTAATATAGTAAGAGTAAAACTTGTGATTCAAATCACAAGTTCACTATTGGTTCATACTGTTATTCTGGATGAACTGAATATGATTTCTTCCATTCACTTGGATGGCAATGATGCCATGTACTGTCAACTGTGTGTAGTGTGCTATATTTAAGATTCATGCAGGTTTCATGTGTCACGTCTGACTGAGAACATTAAAAAGGATTTATTGTCTGTTCTTAGCTGGGTGGAGGAAGATCCAAAAGAGATTCTTCAGTCTGTGTATGAGTGTATGGATAGGACCTGTGAGAAACTGACCCAGCTCAACATTGATATCTCAAACATAAAAGGTACAAGGACCACCTGCTATTTTTCCATGCACATTGCACATGTTCTTACACTATGCTATTATGGTTGTTTATTCCGATTTCTTCCCTTATTTTAATCCGTGTAGCCATTGGGGTGACAAACCAGAGGGAAACCACCATTGTTTGGGACAAGGAAACGGGGGATCCACTTTACAATGCTATAGGTAAGTAACATTGCCTCACTTTTATTTATAAATACCACTTTTATCAGAGATTGTATCCATTGTTTTACAGTTCAGAATCTATATTAAAAAAATCATAATTTATTTGGATTTGTTTAGTTTGGCTTGATCTGCGGACCCAGTCCACAGTAGAAAGACTTATCAACAAGACTCCTGGCAGGAACAAAAACCACCTCAAGGTGAGAGTGCCAGTGTTCCCTTGTGAACAAGACTGAAATTATCTTGAACAGCTAAATACACAATCCATTATTATATAAAATAATTTTCAAAATATCTGTCAGGAAGTCTTTATTTTTTAAATCAAGTTTTGTAGCTTTTAGTATAAATATCCATAAGCTGGCGTGCTCCAAAAAATTCCAAATTAACATTTAGATGATGCATTCTGAATGTACATTTTGATTACACCATGATGCACTTTTTTTTCTGTCCAATCAAATGCTCTCTGGAAACTGAAGTATCCCCAAAATAAAAACAAGCTACAGCTGCTTCAGTTTACTTCTGAAATAGATTATTTTTCAAAAGTGTTTTATTTTTTATATGATGAAATTTGATTAATAAAAATTAGTTAAAAGTTACAGTTTTATATTAAATCTAAAGGGGGAACCGATTAGACTTCATTTTAATACAACTTGCTTTATGCACAGCTTCACTACTTCCTGAATTTCAGCCAGCTCCTTGTTTCCTGTCTGCCATTATTGGCCAAGCTTGATTAATTCAGGTGTGCTTGGCCTCAGGAGTCACGGCAACAATAATCAGACACACCTGAATTAATCAATTTTGACCAATAATGGCAGACGGGTAACAAGGAGCTGGCTGAAGTTCAGGAAGTAGTGCAGCTGTGCATAAAGCCCACTGTGTTTGTCTAAAGCTGTCACATGGACTAGCACTTCAAAATGCCCCATGCCAATTTATTTTTTTTTAATGAAATTGTCAAAGCTTTGAGGAAAAACTGCTCATCACTGGACTTTTAAGTTTATTCATAATTGTGTTCAAGTTATGTGTCATATCATACTTAAAGTTGACAAAATTGAATAATTAGTGTTACTTCTCTTGCCTTATAAAGCACAAGACTGGCCTTCCCATCAGCACATATTTCAGTGCAGTGAAGTTACGCTGGTTGATGGATAATGTGGAAAATATCCATGAAGCTGTGCTCTCCCACAAGGCAATGTTTGGAACGGTTGACTCCTGGCTTATCTGGGTAAGAGCAGTGGCAGTGAGGTATCTCTTATGTGATATACACTCACCTAAAGGATTATTATTTCTCATTAATGCAATTATCTAATCAACCAATCACATGGCAGTTGCTTCAATACATTTAGGGGTATGGTCCTGGTCAAGACAATCTCCTGAACTCCAAACTGAATGTCAGAAGAATGATTTAAGTAATTAACAGCGTGGCATGGATGTTGGTGCCAGACGGGCCGGTCTGAGTATTTCACGATCTGCTCAGTTACTGGGATTTTCACACACAACCATAACTAGGGTTTACAAAGAATAGCGTGAAAAGGGAAAAACATCCAGTATCCGGCAGTCCTGTGGGCGAAAATGTCTTGTTGTTGCTAGAGTAGGGCTGGGTATCGAGTTCGGTACTTTTTATGTACCGACCAAATTGCCTCGGTACTACCAAGTATCGAAACATGTCTTTTTTTTTCGGTACCAAATTTCGGTACCTAAGTGGTTAATCTCGTCAACGTCAGTGAAACAATAAGCATGCAGAATGATTGGCTGTGGCGGAAAACAATAGTTTACGCGGCGGCTGCCCAGAGATGTAGCTAGTTGCACGTGAGGCGGTAGTGTGTGTGTGCTTCACAGTCTATGGTGTGTGTGTGTGTAAGCGTCCCAACCCAGATAGATAGAAAATATGTGGAAATTATTCAAAGTGTACTTATGTGCCAGACGTGGTGCAATATTTTCGACAAGATAATTGCCGCCAGGACCGGTAACACGGTAAATCAGACACTTGAGAGTAGAAAGTTTATCCATTTTCGATTGCAAGAACTGGAGCGCGTCACAAATGAAACCGAAACTCAGCATATAGGATACTTGCCTCATAGAGATGAGAAATAGGCCTATAGACGGTCAAAATATGTCTACTTTTAAACAAAACAATTAGAAATAATTGTTTGATTACTTAATCCATATAGGCGCGCACATTCACTACCGCAGGAATGACGAGTCAGCATCGCCATAATCATATTTGCTGCCCTCACACTTTTTAAACACTTTTTCATTAATAAACAATTAAAGTATATCCTTGCTGTTGTTTCCCGACACATCCATAATACTTAGGCTACTTTTGCCAGTGCTTTGCAGCAAGCTTCATGTGTGCTGAGCGCGAGGCATAAATCCCGCCCCCCAGTAGCCTATATTTAATTTAATTCACATTTATTTGTATAGCATTTTTCACAATACATATCGTTTCAAAGCTGCTTTGTAGAAAATGCATGTTTCTAAATTACAATTTAGAGTGATGATGTGCTATCAGAGGTGACATTTCAATTAATTTTCATTCAGTTTCATTGTTAAACAATGCATTAAGATAAGGCAAAAACAATGAGCTCATTGAAGTAAAGAAAACATGTTGTTAAATGATTAGGAAACAGAAAACTTTAGCGTTGGTGCTTTTTTACATTCTCAAAATATGAGTGTGAAAAAGTCAACAAACTGAAAAATAAAATAAAAAATTATATAATATTATATTGTTAAAACTGGTTACATAAAATTGGTATTACATATAAATTGGTACGGTATCGTTCAGGAACCGATATTGAAGTCAAGGTATCGAACATTTTTTTTACGATACCCAGCCCCATGCTAGAGGTCAAAGGAGAATGGGCTGACTAATTCAAGCTGATAGAAGAGCAGCTTTGACTGAAATAACCACTTACAACCGAGGTATGCAGCAAAGCCATGTCCATCCCTTTATGGCCACCATGTACCCATCCTCTGATGGCTACTTCCAGCAGGATAATGCACCATGTCACAAAGCTAGAATCATTTCAAATTGGTTTCTTGAACATGACATTGAGTTCACTGTACTCAAAATGGCCCCCACAGTCACCAGGGGCCCGTTTCAATAAGGAGGTTCAACCAACTCTGAGTTAAAGCTTGAACTCAGAGTTGACTTACCCTGAGATGGGAAACTCTGAGTTTTCGGTTACAGAACAGCTGAAATGAGTTAGTTCAATCAACTCTGAGTTGACTGACTCTGAGTTAAGCGCGTGCACCACAGCTATAAAAAGCCATTATCAATGGAGCGCAGATATTATCAGTCACCATGGCAACAGCGCCAGACAAAAAGAGGTGTTGGGTGTAATTAATTACCAAGTAATCTAAATATTGTAATTTAATTAAAGGGATTACTCTTAATTCTTCTTTAATTTAAAATAAAATATGATGCAATTACATTAAATAGGCTACTGCATAAACTATAGACCAATTCAGTATAAAACAATATAGATTTAGCATACATTTTTAAAAGGTATATTTTTATATAACCTTCTCCCTCTACACACTGATCAATTCAAGAATAATTCATGCAATTGTATTGTTAATTTGAAAGCATTAAAAGTGCAGTTTCTTGTCTCTCCTCCTTGTATTAATCAAGTGGTTGAGGTTGATATAGGATTTAGTAATATGTAGACCAATACTTTCTAGAGATAGTAATTATTACATTAATCTAACTACACCGTTGAAGATGTCATTTGTTGTTAATAATTCATAACTATTTTAGAGTAACTGTTATAATATCAGAGGTGAAACTGGAAGAGTGTTATTCAACCTATAGTCTACTATTACTTTGATACATTTTTACTTAAGTACAAGTAAAAATTCCAGAAAAAAATCTACTCAAGTAAAAAGTAGTTAATTTAAAACATGAGTAAAAGTTGCTGAGTAACTTGTTTAACAGCAGGGGTGGGGTGGGGGACTCCCCCATGTGGGGTTGTAACGTATGAGAGTTTCAGAGTATGAGAACCGTCTCAGAAAATATCACGGTTTATGGTGTTAAACAATTGTTAAATATATAAACTGCATTATTAAATTACGGTCATTATTTTCATCAGTTAAAATGATAGTTAAATAAATTAAACATTTGTTCAATAAAACATAATATCAACTAACTTCAATAATTGATTATGATTATGATTGACATCTTATTTTTTATCATTAATAACTTCTTAAATTTTATTACAATATTTTCAATGATTTAATAGAAATATATTATCCAAAACAGTGGTAATCAAATAAAAGTTTAGCAAATGTTTTAATCCTTTTATTTTTTGGCAAAGTGCTGCAAAACAGATTTAGTCAATTAAACCATGGACAAACAATATATTCCTTAAAGAATGTGTAAATAAATTTTAGTATTATTGTTGGTGTTTAAACAGCACTTCCTCTTTAAAAAAAGGGGATGAGACCGCAAGAAACTCTGGGTTTACTGAAGAAAACCTGCTCCCGACCAGATTAGGTTCACAGAGTAAGTTACGATGATAACTGACTCTGAGTATAAGTTTCCTCTCTTTTAGAAACGGGCTTGACTTACTCTGCTTTCTCGGGTTTGATATACCCCCCTTTCTGAAACAGAAAACCCAGAGTTTCCCTCATTTCAGGGTTAACATACTCAGAGTTTTCACTTAACCTCCTTTCTGAAACAGGCCCCAGATCTCAATCCAATAGAGCATCTTTGACATGTGTTGGAACGGGAGCTTTGTGCCCTGGATGTGCATCCCACAAATCTCCATCAATTACAAGATGCTATCCTATCAATATGGGCCAACATTTCTAAAGAATGCTTTCAGCACCTTGTTAAATCAATGCCACGTAGAATTAAGGCAGTTCTGAAGGCGAAAAGGGGTCAAACACAGTATTATCATGGCGTTCCTAATAATCCTTTAGGTGAGTGTATAGGGACGGTGTATATAAATTTGGGGTTAAAGGATTAGTTCACACCTAAAAATGGAAATTTTCTGATAATTTACTCACCCGATGCCATCCAAGATGTTCATGTCTTTCTTTCTTTAGTGGAAAAGAAATTAAGTTTTTTGAAGAAAACATTTCTGGATTTTTCTCCACACAATGGACTTCAACGGTAACCAAATTGTTGAAGTCCAAATCAATGCAATTTCAAAGGGCTTTGAAGTGCTTCAAAGGGCTCTGCACGTTCCCAGCTGAGGAATAGGCTCTTATCTAGCGAAATGATCGATTATTTTTTAAAAAGTAAAATAAAAAGGTATATACTTTTTAACCACAAATTTGTTTGTCTTGTGCTGAGGTGAATTAATCCTTTAAAGTGGAAAAGGAATCAGTGCATGAATTTGTGGCAGTCCAATGCCAGCAGGCTTCTAAATAATAATGCTAATGCTTGCTGATAGTGCAAAATAAACTTGTGCTTGCTGATCAGTATAATGAAGTGATCATTATGTAAATATTTAAGCATGTTAAAATAATAGGTAATAACCCCTTCCTTTCAGTGCTTGACAGGGGGGAAGAAGGGGGGTGTTCACTGCACAGATGTGACCAATGCCAGCCGGACCATGCTCTTCAATATTCACACAATGGACTGGGATCCAGAGCTCTGCACGTAATTATACATTTGCTTACATAGTCAAAAGGAATGTGACTTAAAGGGATAATCCACAAAAAAAAAAAAAAAATCCTCTTATCATTTACTCACCCTAATGCCATCACAGATGTATAGAACTTTCTTTCATCAGATGAACAAAAGATTTTTAGAAAAATAATCTCTGATCACAATCTCCATGAGTACAAATAATACCCCAAAAAGTGTACCCCAAAGATGACATGACAAAAATCCATATAACCCCAGTGGAGGAATCAGTGTCTTCTAAAGCAAAATGATGGTGTAAGGAAAATACTTTAGTACGCTGTGAAAGAAGTGATGTCCTCTGTGGTTCTCACTTGAGCTTCAGAACACATTTACGTCGCACTTCACAGTGTAGTGACGTAGCACTTTACGACACTGTCATGAACCTGCATATGACTGTTTGTTGGAAGCTAGGTTTATAGTAGGGATGCAACGATACCAATACTCCACTGACTCAGACTGTACTTGTACTCATCAAAACACTCCAATACCATGCAGCGTTTACGTTAAAGAAACACAGACAACAGAGCAAACAGAAAGCAGAATGGATAAATCAGAGAAGGATGTAAATGATGTAAATTTATACAATTAATAGAATGTTAAACAAATATTTACGCCTATATAGCTGCAGTGGCACAGACCCACAAGATTTGTTTGATTTATTTGCATTCAACACAAGCTTCGAGTCAAGAAGCCAAGATTGTACAACATCAAAGGCATCCTGCAGTTAGTGAAAAGTCTTCTGAAGGGCTTCTCCACAACTGTAAATAATTGTGTCATCAGCATAAAAATGAAACGGAGCATTATGGACATTGAACCAAGATCATTTACATAAATGGTGAATAAAAGTGGACCCAGCACCGACCCTTGAGGAACCCCTGATACAACTTTTTAGAAACCCGAAGAACTACCGTCAAAAGTGACGCACTGAGTCCTATCTGAGAGATAATTTTCAAACCAACCAACTGCCTTCTCAGAAAAACCAATGCTGAGCAGTCTCTGTTTTAAAATACAATGGTTCACGGTATCAAAAGCTTTAGAAAGATCGATGAAAAGAGCTGCATGCATCTTTTTGCTGTTCAGTGCGTCAATGATGCAATTCACCTCCTTCAATGAAGTAGAGATGGTACTATGTTGTTTTTTTTTTTTTTTTTTTTTTCGGAAACCCAACTGAAACTGATAGGATATTATTAACACTCGGAAATTCTTTCAGTTGTTCCTAGTTCTAAGACCTTTGACAGCACAGACAAGTTGGAGATAGACCTATAGTTGTTAAGCAAGGTAGGATCTCTTCCCTTTAACAAAGGGAGGACATAAGAAGATTTCCAGATTGATGGTATAACATTCTGGACCAAAGACAAATTAAAAATATACATAAGTGGTTTAGCAATAAAATCTGCAGCAATTAAAAAAAAAATATGTCTCTAGACAATTGAGCCGGCATGCTTTTTGATGTTCAATGACATTAGGGCTTTATGCACATCATCGATTGAAAACGGGGCAAAGGTAATAGACAAAGGCTGGCCAATACAGGATCTTCCTGCAAAATTACCATCAGAAGAGGAGTTTTTTAGAGGTAGAGATTGATCAAAGAATCAGATGCAACAAAATGTTCATTAAAACATTCTAGCATTGCTCATCTTTCTGAGATAATAATATCATCCCTAATGATATGGGAGGCAGTTCATTATGAGATTTAGTTAACCAAATTGACTGGAGAGACTTCCAAAAAGTCATAGGGTTCTTTAGATTGTCTGTAGTGGCTGCTAGATAGTATTCAGTTTTAGCATGTTGGACAGCTGCTGTAAACTGGTTCAGTAGTCGTCTAAAATTAATCCTATCGGCCTCCACCCCTGAATTTCTAGCCTTTGCCCAAGCCACATCTCTCTCATGTAAAAGTTTGCTAAGCTCTGTCGAAAAACCAATGGTTGTCTCGTCCCTTGACTCTAAACTTGCACATAGCAGCATGTTTATTAATAATTTGCAAAAATCCATCATGAAAGTACAATTTCAACATCATCTATAAGCCCAATGCTGTCCCAATTAAAATAAAATAAATCATGTAAAAAACCTTGTAAGGAGAAATGTTTCATATCACGTTTTTCAATGCATCGAGGCCTGGATTTTGGAATTTTTTTTCATTTCTAACTGCGGCAATCGTACAATGATCACTAATGTCATTAGCAAACACACCAATTTCAGAAAATGTATGAGGTGCATTTGTCAATAGCAAATCAATTAGAGTAGATTTCTCTGGGTGTTTTGAATTTGGCCTTTATACACCTCAACATTTAGGGCCAGTAATTCAAGTTGTTTCCTCAGATATAGACAGAACTATATTGGCAGTGAACTTGCGCTTTACAGTCTTACGAGGCCGGTCTGTTCTAAAGACATTGTATCCACTGATGACAATGTCTTTATCTGTGACTGATTTAGAGAGCCATGTTTCTGAAAGAATTATAATATCTGCATCTGTGGATTTTGCCCTAGTATGTAAAGAATCAATCTTATTCATATTCAAATTAATAATACCCAACCGAGACTTGTTTTTAAAATCAGCCAGAGTATTACAGATTTTTTATTACAGAGTCAATATCAACTGGACCAGGATTTGGCTGCACATCACCACAAATAATTAACAACATAATGATCAAGCATCTCTGTTTCATAGTTGAACCAAGGCTCACAGAAATTTTAGTATGTAGTGAATTAAAAAAACAACATAAGATCATTGTCAGATAAAACAGTGAAGCTTTTCAAAACAGTAAGGCACAGAGAACGGAGAAGGCATACAGAAGGAACACTATAAAGGGGTTGTAGTTTTTGCGCAGGTAACTCTGGTCTGGAACAAGTCATACTGGGAACAAATGAGGGACCCTACGCCTTCACTAGAGAGGTTTCATCTGGGACATTCATATGCCCGTGTCCACAGAGCAAGACAAGGCTCAGTAGAACTGTCATTTTCAGCACTGTAGAGTTGCGGCTTAAAGGGGATACTCCACCGTTTTCTCATATGTTATGAGAAATGTTATGAGAAATATGTTATGGGCTATTTTAATCCCTTAATATAACTAAGACGAGTTGATGCATACCTCTCTCATCTCAGTGCATGCACTCAATCGCGAGACACTTTGATAGCACTTAACTAGCCCAGTTCATTCAATATGGGCCAAGCAGAGAAGCGACCAAACACCTCCACATTTTCCCTATTTAAACACAGTTACGCGAGTAGTGTAACTCGACCAAGGACGATGACAAAATAAAATGTTGCGCTTTTCTAAGCGTGTAAAGTGGATAACTATATTGTATGGTGGAATACCACAGCAAGTGCTTGGGAGCACTGCAACTCGGCGCATACTGTATATATCTATGGACTCGGCGCAGTAATATCATCACATCGGAGTGGGAGAGGACTTTTCACAAGTGATGATATTACTGCGCCGAGACGAAGTGTTCCCAAGCACTTGCTGTGGTTTTCCGCCATACAATATCGTTATCCATTTTACACACTTAGAAAAGCGTAACATTTTATTTTGTGTCACCGTCCTAGGTCGAGTTACACTGCTCGAGTAACTGTGTTTAAATAGGGAAAACGTGGAGGTGTTTGGTCGCTTCTCTACTTGGCCCATATTGAATGAACTGGGCTAGTTAAGTGCCAAGTATCAAAAGCCGCTTTCCGACCAAGTAGTTACAGGAACTTAGTAGGAACTGTCCACTTCTAAACAGTTCTAAGAACTACTCTCCCCCAAACTCTGTTTTGCTGCTTGCGTTCGCACTGGCCAAGTGGCCATAGGAAATGGTAGGAGGGGTAACGCAAGCACGGCGACGGTCTTGCGGCCACATACAACACCAACAAACCAGCATGTACAGTCATGGTCAAAATTAATGGCACCCCTGGTAAATATGATAAAAACTGGCTGTAAAAATAATTCTGCATTGTTTATCCTTTTGATCTTCCATTCAAAAAATTGCCAAAATTCTAACCTTTCATTGAAGCAAAAAAATTGAAAGTGGGGGTAAATCACACTATGAAATAAATGTTTTTCTCAAACACTCTGGCCATAATTGTTGGCACCCCTAGAATTTTTTATGAGAAAAATATCTCTGAAGTACATTCCCATTAATATTTAATTTTTTAAGCACACCAGGGTGACTAGGAACATGAAATTGTCCAGCTATAACTTCTTGTTTCAAGGAGTTTAAATATGAGGAAGCACAAAGGTCAAATTCCCTGAATCATCCATCACAATGAATAAAACCAAAGAACATGGTTCTGATGTGCATCAAAAGATTGTTGAGCTTCACAAAATAGAAAGTGGATGTAAGAAAATAGCTAAAGAATTGAAAATCCCCATTTTGACCATCAGGGCAATAGTTAAGAAGTTATAATCAACTAAAGATGTTATGATTCTGCCAGGAAGAGGACGTGTGTCTATTTTGCCTTAATGGACGGTGAGGATGAAAGTTTGAGTGTCCATAGACTCTTCAAGGATCACAGATGGAGAATTGCAGAGATTACTTGAGTCTTGGGGTCAAAAAAACCTAAAAAAAAAAAATATCAAACAACCCCTACATCCCCACATGTTGTTTGAGAGGGTTTCAAGAAAAATGCTCCTCGCTCCTCCAAAAACAAACTCCAGCATATTTAGGTGTCAGACACGACTGGATCTTCAAAAGGGACCGGATTCTATGGTCCGATGAAACTAAAAAAGGGGCTTTTTGGCAGCAAACCTAGCAGATGTGTTTGGTGCAAACAGGGATGAAGACTACCCCATGCCTACGGTTAAATATACTGTTGGATCTTATATGTTGTGGGCCTATTTATTTGCTGGAGGTCCTGGACATCTTGTTCAGATACATGGTATTATGGATTCTATCAAATACAAAGAGATAAAAAATAAAAACCTGACGCCTTCTGCTAGAAATCTTATAATGGGCCGGGGTTGGATCTTCCATCAGGACAACGATCCAAAACA